CTCCAGACCTGCCCATCAGCTGTACTAAGCTGGAGACAGCAAGCACACGGAATCTCTGAAGTGGATCTGAATGTGCATTTGGGTTTAATAATATGCTCAGGCAAACGTGAAATAAAGAGCATGTTCAAGGATCTTGGGACCATTTTGAAGGCCAAAGCCAGCTTCTGGTCAGTGGGAAAGCACCCAGTGCTGTATGGAGCCAAAGCTCAGCACACATCCTCACTACTGTAGCAGAATATGTGAGCATTTCTGAGAATGGAGGGCATCAGGACTGGGGCAGGTTCCCGAGGAGCACAATTCCCAGGATCTCTATATGGGAAGATCTGAGTGGACAGGGGCCTTTTCTGCATTCCAGGAGCTGCCAGGTACAGAGACACCCTGGTGTGTCTGGTAGGAGAGGTTGTTCTTTGGTATCCAACACTCAGGGATGGAGATAAACACTGCTCCTATCACGTCCCCAGGGTCTGTTGGTATGCTTTTCAAATAATGATTTCCTTATTTTATATGCTTTGAAGAGCCTTTTTTTTTAAAGGATTATTTATTTGAAAGGCAGAGTTACAGAGAGAAGGAGAGAGAGGGAGAGGGAGAGAGAGAGAAAGGGAATCTTACATCTGCTGGTTCATTCTCTAAGTGGCTGCAATGGCTAGGGCTGGGCCAGGCCAAAGCCAGGAGGCCAGGAGCTTCTCCCTGGACTCCTACATGGGTGCAGCACTTGGGCCAATGTACTTTACATCTGAAGTCCTCCTTTCATGTTCCTTCTTCCTTACATGAAAACATTGCAAGAAATAATCATCACCAATCCTTTTTTGGATATATTGCAATGTTGAAACACAATAGATAATTCACAGCACATTTATTTGTAAGATACCAGAATAAAGCTAATTAAGTATTCTCATCAATTATCCCTTGCCCAATGCCAGTTTGCTCTCCAGATGGAGTATTCTGCATCATGTTGACATGCAGCCCCCTTTTTATGCAATTCAGATGTTACATGGTGCTCCATGGTGATGCATACCAACATTCTTTGGAAAATTACTTAACTTCCATCCTCTGGTTTACTCCCCCGATGGCCACAACAATCAGGGCTGGGCCAGGCCAAAGCTAAAAGCCAGGGTGGCAAAGGCCCAAATCCTTGGGCCATTTTACACTGCTTTTCTGAGGCCATTAGCAGGGTGTGGATCAGAAGTGGAGCAGCTGGGAGCTGAACTGGCACCCATATGGAATGCTGATGTTGCAGTTGGCAGCTCTATCTGCTATGTCACAAAGCCATCTTGAAACCTTTTTCTTTAATTAGAAAAGGTATATAGCATATCCATTCCTAATTTTATAAAACACTATGTTATGAAGATGGTGCTTGTTTTATTCTATAGAGTAAGTCATTAAAAAGGACTATCACATGTAAATAGTGATAATTCCTTTTACGAGCCATCCTGAAATATAAGTAAAGCTGTGGTGACAATAATAAAATACAGTTAACAAAATAGAGGGATGCCTTTATGATCAAATTTCCAACAGTCAGAAGCATATTTAGGAAAATAATAAACATAATATCATAAGTTCATAATCTCATTAGTTCAGAGAGAAAACTGACCATTTTGGTTTTTTATTCATTTTTTAAAAGATTTACTTATTTCTTTGAACGTCATGTTACGCAGAGAAGGAGATGCAGAGAGAGAGAGAGCGAGAGTGAGAGTGAGAGAAAGAGAGAGGTCTTCATTCACTTGTTCACTCCTCAGATGGCTGTAATGGCTGGAGCTGCACCAATTTGAAGCCAGGAGCCAGGAGATTCCTCCGGGTATTCCCATGTGGGTGGCAGGGACCCAAGAACTTGAGCCATCTTCCACTGCTTTCCCAGGCCATAGCAGAGAGCTGGATTGGAAGTTGAGCAGCCAGGACTTGATCCAGTGCCCAGATGGGATGCCAGCACTGCAGAAAGCAGCTTTCTCTACTAAGCCACAGCGCTGGCCCCAAAACTGACCATTTTAACTTGCAATCAAGGCCCTATGTGAGGGCCAGCATTGTGGCTCAGCAGGGTTATGCCACCATATTCAATGCTGACATCTCATGTGAGCACTGGTTTGAGTCCCAGCTGCTCCACTTCCTATCCAGTTCCTGAGTAAGGTGCTTGGGAAAGCAGCAGAAGATGGTCCAAATGCTTGGGCCCCTGCACCCACGTGGGAGACCCGGATGGAGTTCCAACCTCCTGGCTATGGACTGGTCCAGCCCCAGCTGTTGCAGCCATTGGGAGTGCATGGAAAATCCCTCTCTCTCTGTAACTCTGCCTGTCAAATAGGTAAATAAGTTTTTAAAAAAGAAAAGTTATGGCAGAAAGAAAAAGAATACTGAACAAATGGCAAGCGGTGCACCCAGTAATTAGAGAAATCCAATCTCAATTATATCAGGTATTATTTTAAAACAAGCAGACTATTCCTGTTAAACATTGTTTGACTATACTTAGTTATAAATATATACCTAAAATATAAGGCTTAAAGTAGAAAAATGAAAAATCCATTTCATGTGACTTATTCAATTAATGACTGCATAAATATCAAATAAAAGAGGCTGTAGATTTAAAGCAGTTTATTATTGTGACTAATATTTTTATATTTGTAAGCATATATTATCCTACTATGATTGCTTGATAACAAATGTAATCTAATAGTGTGTATTACACCCTATATACATACACACGTGTAAGCATGAGTACAGGGTCTTGTAATATGGCTACCAAATAACTGTGCCTATACAATTGTACAACAAGTATTATAAAGCAAATACAAGGCACATGTTTCTGATAATGTTGGGGGATTTTGTATTCCTTATCGAGGCAAAGCAGAGCCTGGATACCCTGGAGTCACAGCTCATGAGAAGATAGGGGCTAAGAGTTGGGAAACAGCCAGCAAATAATGCAGAGATGTTCACTGTCAATCGACTGGGTTTACTAAGAAGAGCCAAATACACTTGGAAAGTGGAGGAGACCGTGTAAAAAAATACAAATGTGCTCACCAGAGCAAGGATGCTCCGAGTAGCTCTGGATTCAGGGGAAGTCCTGGGGGAAGCATGCGTCCCATGAATGTGCTGCACCTGCTGCTTGTGTCTGTGCAGGATGAACACCATGGAGCTGCTGGCCAGGAGCATGAGCCCCAAGGACACAGCATCAGGCAACAATAGTAGTGCCAAGAAGAGCGAGCCTGTGAAGGTGTCTTGGAAGACAGCGTTACAGTACCCATAGTCTTTTCTCTTTGTGATGCTTGTGTTGATCCACTTACTTGTCACGTAGATGGGGGAAATGGTGTTTATTAACATGTTCAGGATCCAGCACAGCATGGAGGAGAGGCCTATGTACCTGGGAGCTTTGACTTTAAGCTCTGCCCACCTAGAGTTCCTGGGGCTGATGGTGATGGCCTGGAAGATACTCAAGAAGCAGGTGCTTTCGATGGACACGGCCCTGGACACTCTTCGTACATAGAAAAGAAGGTTGCACTCAGCATCGCTGGGGAGAAATTTCCACCTTAAAGCTGTCACTGCCTGTGGCACTCCATAGGAGAGAATGACCAAGCAGTTGGCTACAAGGAGGTGCCTCAGAATCAAATCTGTGCATCTTGCCTTGAATCCAGTCAAGGAAAGGAAGACATGATGGGAAAGAAGAGAGAAGTTCCCCAGAATCCCACATATGACCTGAGCTAAGAAGAGCGTTCCTGTGGCCACCTCCCAGGAAGCCATTCTGCTAGCTCCTGGTGACTGACATGTATCTTCACACCAGGTACCTGCATGAGAAGACCAAGAGTGAGATGCATTTACAGCACCAGCTGAACCCCAACCTTCTCCAGGAACTGTGATTCCGCCACTGAGAAATACTGAGAGCTCTTCTTCTTTTATTAAGTGATCTGCCCCCGCCCCCCAAAATGAAATCCTCTCTTTCACAACAAAATAGATACAACTGGAAACCATTGCACTTAGGAAAATAAGCCGGTCCTCCAAAAACAAATACCTTATGTTCTCTCTCATCTATGGTAACTAATAGAGTACCTAAAAGGTAATCTATAGGTGTGAAGTTGACACTCTGTGACGTGATGATTTTGAACAGCCCTTGTCTTGACTGTTGAGGAATAATGCTTTTTTGTTTGTTTGCTTTTTTGATTTTTCTTCATACTATTTGTTGAACTCTCCACTTAGAGTCAGGTTAATTTTATGAATTTAAAGTTAACTTACAATTGATCTTGTGAAAAATAAGAGTAGGAATGAGAGAAGGAGGAGAAAGAAGGGTAGGAGTATTGTCTGGAGGGAGGAAGTGTGGGAAGAATCACTATTTTTCTAAATTTGGATATATGAGATGCATGAAGTTTATCTTCCTTAAGTAAGAAAAAAAAAAAGAGATTTCCAAGAGTTTAGGGTGTAACCTGCAGACAAGACTTACAGTGTGTGAATCACTGCAGTGAAGAGCACACACCGGCACCGTCTTTGCTTTCCACAAACATGTGAGGCACTCCCTGCTATTGCTTATATTATAAAGAAGCAGGGAACTCGGAGAAGGAGAAGGTCAGTGTTTTGTGTGAATTCATAAACAGGCTGGGGGACTTGAACAGGTGAGGACTTGAAACTGCCTGGACTGGCACTGAAGACATGAACCACCACACGTGTGATAAGCTGGTTAGCTGTGATCCCCAAAGAGCCTAGATAATGAGGGAACTTTAAAAAAGTCCTTGGAAAATTTTAATTAAAAGATAAGCTTATTATAGTGCAGAGATTTCAAAATCCATGCATCATGTTTTCCATAATATGCATCTCCATGATCTTTTTGAAGAACCCTTCATATGCATGAATTTTAAAAAAATGTTTTGGACTAAAATAAACTTACCTTTTAATTCCACTTCCCACTCACTTCTCTGAAGTATCCTCACACATTTGTTTTTGTTTTCATAACTTGTTATCTTATTGTGGATCACAGAATACTTATTTGATGCTATTGTTTGTTAACAAGTCCCTATTTATGTCTGCAGGTCAGCAAATAGGCCAAAATCAATGAGGACTGGAAGATGAGAGATTTTCACCAGTGGAGGTGCACTGAGAGCCGTGCAGACCCCAGAAGCCTGCCCCACATCTGGCTGGAGTCAATGAAAGGAAGAAGGCCTCCACAGGAAGAGGGAAAGTTTAACCTGCTGTCATGCCAAAAATACAAATACAAGGACACCTATGATAGGAACTATTAGTCCAGACCATTCCATAAATTATGGGATGGGAAACAATATTGCATAACATAGCTTTGTGAAACCCATAGTTATACAATTTATTTTCTTTAAATGCCATTTCCCCAACTTAAAGAGGGGAAATAATCAACCATAATCCATAGACCACAGATGTCTTCAGTATAAACATAATCAATGTCTTCATTAGTGGTATCATACACCAAAGTTAGAGAACACATTCCCAACAACTGTCATTCAGTACACAGGAAAATGCGATCCATGTTGATTAATCCTCTTTATTTATATACATGGAGGTATTACAGGCACACCGCTAGGCATCCTAAAATTTGTACCACGATTCTGTAAAGCTGGTTCAATAGCAGATGATCCTGGAACTACAAATGTACTCCAAAAAGTTCTTGGAACAGTCCTGAAGTACCTTAAAGTCAGATTTCATTATCACTTATATCAAATGCCAACAGTCACTGCCATTGATTATTATACCAAATTGCTTTAGGAATTACCTAGAATTCCAATTAATCCTTTCGTAGCTCTGCTCATACCTCAGGAATTATTCTTCCTCCCTGTGAGGGCTGACTTTGGATGCGGTTCATACATAGACACCCAGGAACATCATCCTTTCCTCTAACATACTCTGCTTCATGACTCTGCCTCTCAAATTGAAATAGAACTCATCCAGCTTCTTCCCAGTGGCATCACGATGCGCTCAGTGAGAGGGTCACAGCAGTCAGTACAAGTGCAGAGGGAAGGCTGTCAGATCCTGAGATATGGGTTTGTGATTCCATGACCTCACCTCCCCACAGACAGAACATTAATTATTATCCACTTGGAGCAGCAATTAGAGTGTAGAGTTGGGACTGGAGACTCTTTATGAAAGTTTTTTCCCAGATGCTAATTATTACTGCAACCAGTAGAAGTTTCTAGTTAGCTTCTCCAAAGGCAACTTTGATGTGTTTGAAAAGGCTTTTTAGACAGTCATTGCAATAGTGCAATGGGGTAAGAAGGGACAGTGGAGATCTGGCACATGAGGGACTGGCAGCAAAGGATGGGAGTCTCACTGCATTTCTGGATCCATCAGAAGTCACTTTTATAAAAAAAAAAGTGCAGCTTCCTAATCTGTAGACCATTGAGCTACACTGTAACTTAGGAGCAGAGAAACAAGATGAGACAGAGTAAGTGAGCAGGCTTTTTGAAGATATACAAGCAAAAGGAAGAAAATGATGCTAACAATGTAATTAGAAACCACTGGATTTATTTGTATAGCTGTGTTCCGTGAATTTCATCTCATACACAATTCAATGCCAGCTGATTTAGAAATGTTGTAGGAAAATAAATTTAACAGTATGGCTTCCACTCAGGATAGGAATTACCAACAGAAATAATATCAATAGAAGCGAGAAGATACAAAAGAGGCACTGAGAAATCAAAGTATGGGGTCAGATGTTTAAGAGGTAGATCCTGGCTTCCTTTTGATTTTACAAGAAAAGCTACTACCATTCACCGAATTCTACAGTATGGAATGGTTACCACAGTTCTCCATGGATAGCTAGAGAAGGTTCTGTACTCTCTCTATGTGTGTAATAAAGAGTAGGAAGAGTCTACAGGAATCTTCTAGTCCTGTGTAGAAGGTGTGTTTGGGTGATAATCGCCAGAACAGAAGGTTTCATCAAACTGTGGACACTTGATGCAAGCAAGAAAGACAGTAATTGTATGAATCCTGAAAACACCAGTAGCCTGTGATTATGGTAAGGCTATTTTCTTACACAATTTAAGTAATGAACATTTAAAGCAAACTTAACATAACCATTATGGGTTTTCTAGGAAACATGTCACATATCTTGTTTTTGCCTCTTCAAAAGGTATTCTCTGAAATGAGAATTTGATCATGGAGAAGGCTATGCCTATGCAAGGGTGTATGGGAAATCTCTTGAACTGCTGATCAATGAACCTGAAATAGCTCTACACGGTGCGTCTATTTCACAGATATATTATATGTATATAAACTACAGCCCAAAACTTTCTATTTCAATTTCTTCAATGCAGTAAATTTCATGGAATACATACAGGTATACTCTAAAAAGTTCATGAGAAATTGAATTAAAAGATAAATTTATTTTGGTAAAAACACTTTGAAATCCATGCACATGAACACTCCTTAAAAAGTTCACAGAGGGGCTGGCTCTGTAGCATAGTAGGAAGCCTCCCATGCAACAACAGCATCCAGCTGCTGCGCTTCCAATCCAGCTCTCTGCTGTGGCCTGGGAGGGCAGTGGAGGATGGCCCAGGTCCTTGGGCCTCTGTATTTCTGTGGGAGACCCAGAGGAGGCTCCTAGCTCCTGGCTTCGGATCGGCACAGCTCTGGCCATTGTGGCCAATTGGGAGTTAACCAGCAGATGGAAGATCCCTTCCTCGCCACCCCCCTCCTTCTCTCTCTGTGTAACTCTTTCAAATAAATAAATGGATCTAAAAAAAACAGAAATTCTTTATCTAGGTGGATGTTTACAACTTCCCAATTAAAGATTTAAAGAACACAAATCAGTACTGGAAAACTATATTTACAATAAATAATTTTTAGTTCATGGCTGGTTTCACTTTGATTAAAAAAAACCATACAATTAGTTACAATCTAGGTAGGGCTGCCTTAACATATGTGATCAGCTGTAAGTGTAGGCAAAACTGACTTGCATGTGTGTTGGCTGTAATTGTAGGCAAGGCTGACTTACACATGTGTCAGCTCTACTTAAGGGCAAGGGTGACCTACACCTTTATTTCGAGTGAAATCCAGCTGTTCCAGTGTCAGGGAAGAGCTGCTGCTCTCATGCCAACAATGGGAATGTGGAATGAAACAGGCACTTGCACAGTTGTTCTGGAGTGCATTTCTTAAAATCTAATTTCCTTGTAAGTACCGAACACAGCCACAACTCCGTGAACATTTCTTATGCAAAGCCAGGTGAGGCTCTAGTGAGTGGAAGGTGGAGGAACCTTTTCTGCCAATGGGAGCAGGGCACACCCATCTATGAGCTCATAAAGGGAGGCCCCTCAAATCAAACTGCATGGTCTACAAGCTGAGCTTCCAGATTACATCTGGGGCAGGTGACCCAGATCCCCCCCGTTACTCCCTTCAGTACTCAGCAGACTAGCCCTCCTTCTTCTTACCTGAAACTTAAGAGAGGTGTTCCGATGGAGAAGAACTGAGGAAAAAGGCAAGACATTTCACATTCCACTGAGAGCCAAATCCACACGTAAGGTAGGGAACTGGGCTGTTTGGACACTGGAAGCAGGGTTGTGATTAGGAATGCCAAGAAAGGTGTATTCATTGTGTTGTATTTATGCATCGGGGAGGCAAATGGCTTTTAGATTCAGAGAGAGTGAGAGACAGAAAGAGAGCTCTTCCATCAGCTGGTTCACTCCCCAAAAGGCCACAATGGCTGGAGCTGGGCCTGTCTAAAGCCAGGAGATTCCTCTGGGTCTCCCACATGGGTGCAGGGGCCCAAGGACTTGGGCCATCTTCTGCTGCTTTCCCAGGCACATCAGCACATTAGCAGGGAGCTGGATTGGAAATGGAGCAGCCGGAACTTGAACTGGTGCCCATATGGGATGCTGGTGCCACAAGCAGTGGCTTTACCCACTCTGCCACAGTGCCCTTCCCCCAAGAGTTTCTTAAACAAAAAAATATTTATTTACTTATTTGAAAGGCAGAGAGAAATACTCATTCCCCAAATGCTAGGGCTAGGAGAGGCTGAGGTCAGGAACTCCATCTGGGTTTCCATGTGGGTTGCAGGGACCCACCTACCTGAGGCATCACCTGAGCTTCCCAAGGTGAGAATCAGTAGGAATCTGGAACCAGGAGCAGAGCCAGGACTCCAGCCCAGGCAGTGTGATATGGGACATGGATGTCCCAGAGGCTTCTTCACCACTGCACCAATAAATAAATATGCACAAGAAAGGAGGAGGACAGAAGAAAGTTCCCAACTCTTAAGTGTGAGCTGGGGCAGTTACTTCCAACCCAACAATACCACATGGAAAGGCAGAAACAGGTGCAATTTTAGAGTGCAGACGACTGAGAAATATTACTGCAGTGAGCTGATCAAAAATCTCAAAAATCATACTCCATGACGGTATGCATCCTTGGTATCCTGTGATAAACATGGTAATTCACCTCAGATTGTGGTCACCCAAACCTTACAGACCCAATCTAGTCCCGAGAAAAATATGACACATTCGTACAGAGGGTCATGCAACAAAATATTTCACCTCTCCAACTGTCACAAGATCACTGAAAACAAGGAGAGCCTGAAGAACTGCCAAGCCAAGAGGAATCTAAAGAGACTTGTCAGCAAACTAATGTATCCTGGAGAGGATCCTGGGGCACACCAAGAAAACTGGGTAAAAACTAAGGGAAACAGCACAAGGAGTGGATTTCATTAACACTGGTTCACTAATTGTCACACGTGTCTCAAACTAATATCTGGGCATTCTCCATATTGTAACTTTTCTGAAAATGTTATAGAAAGTATTAAGAACAAAAAGAAAAAAAAGGATGTGTAACCCTGGGTGGTGTGCAAAGCTTGAAACATTTACCACCTGATCCATCAAAGGAAAAACTGCCTATTCTTGTTCAAGATCAAGAAGTAATATTGGCAGGTGCCGCGGCTCACTAGGCTCATCCTCTGCCTTGCAGCGCCGGCACACCAAGTTCTAGTCCCGGTCGGGGTGCCGGATTCTGTCCTGGTTGCCCCTCTTCCAGGCCAGCTCTCTGCTGTGGCCAGGGAGTGTAGTGGAGGATGGAGCAAGTACTTGGGCCCTGCACCCCATGGGCGACCAGGATAAGTACCTGGCTCCTGCCATTGGATCAGCGCAGTGCGCCGGCCGTGGCAGCCATTGGAGGGTGAAACAATGGCAAAGGAAGACCTTTCTCTCTGTCTTTCTCTCTCACTGTCCACTCTGCCTGTCAAAAAAAAAAATAAGAAGTAATACTTGATATCAAACCCTATTGCTTCTCACAGTTCACATAAATTCACTGAGAAAATGTGAGGCAGTAACATTCAAGAAAATCTAGATAAAAGAACAAATTTCAGTATATTGATTATGGGGAGGAAAATCCTGGACTTTTAAAGTTCCCACTCTTAAAAAGCCCCATAAAACTGATACCTTTGACATTTAAAGAAAAGAAAAGAAAACAAAACAAAATGAACTGGGGCTGGCACTGTGGCTCACTTGGTTAAT